GGTGAAGATAAAGCTTAATCATAACAGACCCTCAGAGTACAGCCTTCAGATAACGAGCTGTCGTGTGTGCCACTGATAAGCGATGTGCAACGTGCAAAGTGCTGCTGATCTGGAGAGGAATTTCGTTGAATTTATTTATTTTGGTAACCATATAAACAATACGCATGAAACTGCATTATCGCAAATTTTCAAGTGCATATTGCAGATATAAATGCTGTGTGAAACCATACAGGACTGGAATACTATGGGTTACACCAGTGTTACCATAGCTGTGCATTACTCGATGGAACGCGTTTTGTCAGATGACTAGATGATTTTAAAACAATTTGGACTTTCATTTGGTCTTGTAATTGACCTTTCAGGCGAATGTGCATGTAACCTTTTTTTTAAGGTTGCTGTCACTGGACTTCGTAGATTGTTTTAAAAGAAAGGCAGTCATCTTTAGAGAATAAAGATTTGTGTGAAATCTAAACAGACGTGGCAGCAGGGCAGAAATCCTGTTTCCCAAATTATCAGACAGATAGTCTTACCTTTGAAGTAAGAACCATGAGTGTGATCGAGTTACTTGTAAATACTTACACTTTAAAATCAGTACAAATGTTGAGCCAGAGGACAGAAGTGTCATTTATGAACTTGTGTTATTACCCTGTGAACCAAAGACTGTAGAGATAGACAAGTTATATTAGACCTGCTGGTGGGATGTTCTTGGCGAGAGATTTCCCAGTGAGTTCTGTACATTCTAGCTGGCAATAAGGATTTCAGTGCATGGTAGCATAACTTCACTAGCATAATTTTTATGTGTCTAGTCAAAATGTAAATGAATGTTCATGACAAAGCCTAGATTTTCAGTGTTTGGAAGCTTTGAAAACCATCATACTCTTTTGATATCCAAAAGTCAGTTATTCCAATCCTATGAGTCCATGATAAAGAAATAAAAACTTACTGAAATAGCCTATTTATTACACTTTTGTAAGATGTACTAAAATTATTTCTGAAGCTGTTTTTATACAAAAAGTCAACTACAGATATATTAACACTTAAGATACAAACTATAATAAGATTTCAGTAAGTTTGCCTCGGGTCCTTCTTAACGCCAAAGCCACCCCATCTGCTGATGCGCTCAGCTGTGGTCCATTCAGATGCCAGTGCTAAAACACCTCACCAGTGCAGTGAACAGCATTTGTGTAGATTGCCTTAAATCGCATTTGTGTGCTACTTTGCAAATGGGTTTAAGCTAGACAAACTGTTGGTACAAGACATGACTGCATGTACATCACTTTGTAATTGGCCAGTAAACAACTGTTACATTTTCATTTTAGTGTTATATTATGCTCCATTTGCTTTACTATTAGCAGTGACTAAGTTGAAATTATTTTCAAGTGGTTATGTAACGCATTGTTAAAGATTATATATAGAGACTGTTTATTATTTATTAACTTGCCAGCAGATTTATTGTGTTGAATACATCTGTGGAACATTCTGCATCACTAGATCTTGCAGTTGTACTGAAGGAGTCCACCAAAGCTTTGAAGACTTCAAGAATGTAAATTTAATGTCTATAAATTTCCACAATCCACTGTCTCCAGAACACATATATCTGTTAAATCATGTGTATTGTATACCAGTGTCCTACTTGTTTTGTAAATATATCATGTTTTATCATAAAGTGTTTCTCATCATCCTGCTATGAACGTTTTATTGTGCTCACATTTATTCTTTTACAAGTCAAAACAAGTCAGGGAAATAAGGATATTTCTTTTAGACTCCACTATGTTGTGCCTCTACAAAAAATAAACATAACATGAACACTATACATGATTATGAAAATCCAAGTCTTTGGACAATCCTCTTCATTTTGATGAGGCAAAAAATTCAGAACCTCAGAAAGAATAAGATTACATCCATCGTTTCAATATTTGCATCTGTAAGTAAAGAGGGTACATATAAAATACTAACAACTAATCAACCACAAAGCTATGTGACATTGGCTTCTACCCAGATGGTAGAGATGAACTTTATTAATTGTTCATTTTGAGCTAAAAACAGTAGGGCACATTTCAGAATCATTAGAGGTGGACCACCATCACCCCTAACAAGTGAGGACGTTTCCCAGGTGGTCATGAATTAAATCCTTTTTATGAAAACTGCAAATTCGATGCAGGTCTGTATGATCAAAGTGGTAAAGGGATAAAAAAGATATTCAAGATACGTGTATATACCATGGCCCGCACAACTGAAGATTTCTTAACAATATATATATATGTGTGTGTGTGTGTGTGTGTGTGTGTGTGTGTGTGTGTGTGTGTGTGTGTGTGTGTGTGTGTGTGTGTGTGCGCGCGCGTGTGTGTATGTGTGTGTGTGTGTATGTGTGTGTGTGTGTGTGTGTGTGTGTGTGTGTGTGTGTGTGTGTGTGTGTGTGTGTGTGCACTTCATATCTTTGAAATCTAAGGATCATTAGTCCCTCCAAGATTATTTGACCGAGGTAAAAACAGTTTTTCAC